TGATGCGAAAAAATTTGGATCTTTTTCATTGAGTTTATGTACTTGTGTGTTTTCTTGGACACCCACAGGTTGTTTTGCTGTTCTTCTTCCATTCCACTGTAATTTTGTACATTCAGTAATGTTTCACAAATTTTTAGATTTTTTTTTTTTCCTTTTTGCTGATGGTTTATGTGTGACTGGAATTAATGCCAAGGCAGTTGAATTGCTCCTACAAGAATATACCCTTTTCTCATGTTATGGAGTTTGCTCTTTTGGTGAGTCTAAATTTCCTTGCTTTCATGGATGAGATGTTCAGTTTCATCTCTATTGCCACCTGTGAAAAAGACTTTGATTTTAAAACTCATGCCCACCAGCATATAGAACAATAGACTATCGATCTATTCAAATCTTCAATGATATTCCTCTTTCTGGAAAAGATCCTGGGATTAGCCCTGTTCATTAATTTGATTACCAGTTTCAATTTTGCCAGGTGTCGAGGGTTTTCTTTCGTTTGCTGAATTACTGTTAGCCAAGACTCTTCTTTTTATCCATTTCCCATTTCCTTAAGGTTTTTTCTTCTATGAGTTTGATGCAGATCATGTCATATCTTGGATTATTAATTAGTACAGCATTAGGGTTTTTTTTTGTGGTTGGTTAGATGTTGAGGCGAATATGTTAGTGTCGAAGCTTATTAGAGTCTTGAAACTACAATCTTCAAGGATTCTTGTATAACTAGATGTGCATGAACCCTGTAAATTTACATTTGTGATCATTTGATTAAGTGTAAAATTCTTGTATTGAATATTAGTCTAATATATATTCTGTGACAACATAGTAAGCACCCCACAAGGGTGAATTAAGGTGGTGATGCAGGTACATTAATGAAGAAATTTAGGTTGTCCTAAAGAAAGAAGAAGAAATTAATGTTTTCATAGTTGTTTGACATTGAACTGTTATTACTAACTGTTTGGTGTTTTGGTTCTTTAGCCATATGGATTTGTGAAGTGCATATGAGAAAGACAAATGTGGAAGTTTCATTAACAGTGTGGGACTGAATATCTCAATGAAACAGCAAATTTGTCCTTTCTGAGAGAGAAGATGCTAATGTAATCTCAGAAGCAGCTAAGACATCTGAGAAATCACTTGAGACCCTTTCTTTTGCCTATTGTATTGTACGAGAGAAAATGAGAGGAGTGTAAGTTGCCCCCACATACATTTATGATACAGTTTCTGTTCTGATATTTTTTTTAGTTTACATTCAGTCATACACCCTTTCAATAGAGAGATATTCTGTGTTTGTCATTAAATTCCATAGAAAAACTGTTGAAACATTTTTTTCCGTCCCGAAATGATTGTTAAGTTTCAGTATTACTCGGAGGGAGTATGTGATATTTCATCAGTACCTCATGATTAATGTTGTTGTGATCCCCTCATGTTGATAAAAATATTGCTTTGCTTTTACAGTTTCACAGAACTAGACATCAAGAAATGATCATTCTGAGAGCTCATTAACAGACAAAGCCATAACCAAATTCAAACTGAAATGGCTTTTTTAAAAAAAAAATTTGCAGCCCTTTAAGATTTTCCTTGAAAATGTGGAAAATGCATTAAAATAAGAATTATTGTGGTAGAATATGCATGAACAGTAGCATGCATTTTCATATATACTACCTTTCTGTACTATATCCGATATGTACTTCTGAGATCTGTAATGATATGATCCCAAGTGATCAATATAATTCAACCTTTCTCTACATTTTTTTGTCTTCCATTGCTACCATTTTCATTCCTATGTCTCTTTCATCTGAGTATTTTTGATAGTTTGGTTAAAGTTTGATGAGAAGATGAAGCATTTTGGCTTGTTTTTCCATATGGGTAAAACTTTCAATTTTGGAAAAGATTCGATGGACTTTCATATATTTTCTAGCACATTGGAAATGTGAAAACGTCATAAAATTTGATTCTCTTCCAACTATAGATAGGGACCATTTTGTATATATGTATTGGTTTCGGAACTTCTAATTGGTAATGGAACTAAGGAGAAGGGAATGGCTATTAGGGTTCGTTTCATTCTATTAAAAGAATATGGTCCCTTACCGTGTGACATACAGCTAGCTATACATCTGCATTTCAACAACTTTGTACGTTTACTACTATGCATTATTAGGTTGTCATAGTCCAATTTTCTCAACGATTTTAATGTGGTCAAAATTGTGTAATCTTTCGATCATTATGATGATTATAAAAGGTACAACTAATAGTAGATTATGGTAATATGGTGTAAGATGATGTAAACTTCTTCAAACTTGAGGATTTTTATGGTTTTTTTAAATTTTTTTTTTTTTAATTTTTGATTTAGAGCTAACTATTTACACAATCTACATGTGGAGTTTTTGTTTTTATGGCTGAGTGATGTACAGTGTGTGTGTGTGGCATCTTCCCACAAGAAATTAAAAAGACCAATTAATTTTCATCACAAAAAAGAATATGAATGATGAAAAACATGTACTAAAAGTCCTAGCTAGCTAATTTAGCTACAAATATTGTGAATTATCATTTGTGTATCTTTTGGAATCGGAAAATGTTATAGATTTTTGCCCCATTCCGGTTTCCTTGATCTGTTCTTTTCTTTTTAGAACAAAACGATTTAGGAAAGTGTATGTTTTAAAAACAGCAACAACTATTGGTATTCTCATCTATCATTTGTGTATGTTTCAAAATAACATGATTTTTTTACGTCGTTTGTGATGTTAACAATTGATACATAAGGAACAATAAACGATGAAAAGACGAAAATTTATTTATCTACCAAATGACCGACTTTATTTACAATTTACTGCACATATGATATGACCTTTTTGTTTTTGTTTTTAAGAAGATACTGAAACTAGTTTACAAAATATAATCTTCTTAATATGACTAATAACATTGCACAAAAACGAAGTGATTAGATCGTAAAGCGATATGCATTTTCTTTCTTATAGTATTAACAAAAAATACTTAGAACTCTAGTCTAATTATTTTGTTTTGCAATGAAAAGAAAGTTTAGTGATTTTAAGAGGATTAAAGGTAAAAAGATTCTGTCATTGATCTCATGTTCATTTCTTTTCTTTTTTCTTTCTTTTTTTTTTTTAAGAATCTAAAATGTAACTCTATGATTGTCAACGAAAACTGGATCCAAAAAATATTTTTTCCAAAAAAATGTTTTATTTTAACAATAGAAATTAGATTATTTGGAGCTTGTCACTTGTGGGTTTGCGTGACATGGATCAAGATTTGGATTGGGCCCTTATGCGGATGACAGAAGTCTCAAGAGTCGAAACTGGCCCCATAAACATTTTGAAGATCTCCCTATAGAATATTCATTTACATTTGGTCTTACTTCTCCAATAATGCTACATTGAACTTTTTACCCACGATAATTCATCGTCTCATATTAAATCATGATTAAAACATGATACTGTGAAATTCTCGCATTGACCAATTCGAAAAAGAATTTTAGTGTTCACCGTTCTCATTTCAGATAGCTGTTTGGGAGTATACCCGTCATTAAAAGTTTTTCATAAAATAATTTAGCGGCCTAATTGAACAATGCTAGCATAACTTAATGACCAATACTTTTAATGCAAAGAATTTGTAGTTAAAGCTGCGACAAGACTGTTAATTTTCCCTCCCAATAAAGTTCGGTTATACTGGCCATAATGCGTGGTTAAGTGCTGCGGCTAAAGTTCTAGACTGATGCTTAATATTTCTCAATTCTCATGGTATACTATTCTTGTCCTTGGAACAATGCTAGCATTATTGTAATGTCCGGAAAATTTCCACACCAATTCTGAAAATTCATAGTTTCAGATGTCACGTAATATGAATAAAGTCGCCACAATATCCACTTTATTCTACCTTGCTTGGGGAATGACGATGCCTGGAATTGCACTTCCGGCCTGGTTGTGGAACTCTGGTTAGAGTTTCCTGTAAAACAGAGTCTCGGAAGCTCTTGAGGGTAGACACTCCGAAAATTAAGTCAGAAAATAAGATTGCAAAATGATCTGTGTATGTGAATTGGAGCCAAAGATAACATACCTCTATTTATAGGCCTTAGAAGCATCCGAATATTAATAGGTTTTGTAATATTAAGCCACCGACCTGGAAGCCAGTTGGACCTTGGATGAGATGACTGGACTGACCCATATCCAAGAGTGGATTTGGACTCATCAGGGAAAGTACAAATTTAGTACTAAATATAGAACTAGAACAAGGTACATCAATTTCATAACTGCACCAATGCGATAAAGAGTAAAACGGCCATAAGGATAAAGCAAAGTAGATGAGTTTAAACCATTGTAACGTTTAACTAGTCGACCTCATAACTTAGCATATTTGGAGGTTAAAAACAGATTGAGTTTAATGAAGTCGACCTCGTAACTTAGCTCATTTGGAGATTAAATAACAGATATTAAGCGTTCTGTCCTCAGTACATCAGATCAATTACAATTTTTTCAGTCCAAGATTACGAGCTTTCAGTCCAAAATCACAACCCACAGATGCGAGAGTTCTTGGACCTGAAGCTCTTAATGCAAATTCAAGTATAATAGTATACAACATTCATATTCAGAATTAAAATGACCTCGAAACCTATTGCATTAAAAAAACTTTTAGAGCCAAGTTTAACTTCAACTTATTTATTAGTCTCTATATTGGGCTCTTACCATCTGTACTCGGCAGTTATTTGTAGCTTTTAGGCCTATCATTGATACTGTTTCGACCACAAGATTCGAGATTCCATCCATATAAACATGTACATTGCCAGCTTAAAGTCTTAAACCTAATCATAAGCGCATTTTTGAAGGGAACAACTACATTAAGGAACATGCTTTTTTACAACATTCATCTGATTTTAAAACCATGCAACAATGCATGACCGAGCCATTCATTTACAAAGCGAGGATCTAACCCGCCGCGGCTGCCTGCCTGCCTGCCAGCCTAATTTCTCAACCTGCCACAAAGTTACCTACTACTCCTGCTCAACAATAAAACATCACCCTTTTCACATTTTCTTTCAAAGCTGGCAAAGGTCGCACACCCGACTCTCCAGCTGGTCGGTTACTTTTACGTCCAGCAGCAGAATTGTTCTCTTGTAGATCTGGCTCCATGTAGAATCTTGCTCGAAATGCAGCCAAATGTGCATAATAAGCTGGAGGAACTGCAATAACAGACATTCCAAAACTCATCAAAAGAAAAAAATTAAAAGATTTAGCAACACTCGCAGTGTGAATAGATGGATCTAGTATCGCTGCTTAAGATCAGAAAGTAAGCAAGAAATTATGAAAGATCAGAAACTAAGCAAAGATTTATGATCCAAGCATTCTGTCACAAACAATAGATTATGATCCACCCCTTAGAAGCATGAAGAGCTTCATAACATGAAGCTGTTGGCTGACAACTTTATAGAGACATGTAGAATATGCTAGTAAGAGTTTTAACGGTCGGAGCTCACCAGATTCAGTATGTAAAGCAAAATAATAATACTTGTTCAGTTTGCATGCTAATTGAAATAGCTAGTATACAACATGGCCATTATTGAAGGAGGAATTGACAGATAAACTCACCAACAGAAACAGAACGTGTGCACCTCGCATATGTGTAGCAGAGATTGTTCGTCAAGGACTGAATCCCATCTGCAGTAAAATTGTTCTCATCCCAGAGAACATGGTAATGTGCTGGTCGACTTGTGCCCTACATAACAGAAAATAAATGTGCTCAAACGCCTATAAAGAGAGATTATTGAAAGTGCTAAAGGTTACTATGTCATAATTTAAATCAAACTAATTTATAAGGGCTCAGAAAGAAAAATGTCTTCACATTGTTACTGGAATAAGATGTCATTAATATCTACACTCTATTGTCTATTGCTTTCTAGGTCATGAGAGGCCTATACTTATATTTGTTTCCTGAAATTCCGATGTCTGCTTACAGTGCAATTTTCAGTCATCAATCCTATCTTGAAAAAGCCCAGGTTCAACTGCTAATGAAGAGTTAGCAGCAATAAGTTCATTGCCTTACCTGAATTCCAGCATGACTACAAAGGTAGAAGTCAAATTCTGTTGGATGACAAATTTTAGAATCGACAACAGTGCCTGAAAAAATAAGAAAACAAATCACTTTAAATTCGTCCCCTCCAAAACTATTTATATGATCATGCAGATGTGTATTTAAAGGAGTAGCAGACTATCAGTTCACCTGGTAATATGTTTCCGCTCTTGTCTGTGCTGCTCCGGTCTCGATGATTATTGGCAAACAGGCGGGTGTGATGTCTCTTTTGCACCACGATAAAAGTAACTGGCGGCTGGTAATTTGGTTCTAAAGAAGCACAGGCCTGAATGACATAAAATCAAACATTCAGCATGTTAGAACTTTTTAAATTTGTGCATTAAAAGAAAAACAACTTTAACAGGTGAAAAGAGGAGTACTTGAAAGAATTGATAGGCACATACCTTCCGGATAGCATCCAACTCAAAAAGGAGTACTTGATAGAATTGCCCCTCACTGACCCCATCCCTGATTCAATACCCAAGATTGTTAGGCACAAAAATAATTATCATCCCCATGCAAGTAGATTAAACCATTCTCTATCAACGTGCCAATAGTAGAAACATTAAATAATTACTTTGGATTTGACATGATAACTCATCTTTTGATCGACACTATTTAACGATCATTATTCAAGATCTTACTGGTTAGCCTATTCCTGCACATCCTTAAATACATTCCGAACTTGGATTTGAATTCTATCCTCCATACTAAATTCAAACTGAAACTATTTCCTTCCAGTACTCAAAAGAAGAATTTAAAAATCCTAAAACAGGAAAATCGCTCATGACTCACCTGTAGAAGATGATCCTTTGGGGCTTTTGCCCAGTTGCCTTTCTGAAGGAAATTAAAAGATCTCTGGAAAGGAAACAAATGGAAATTAAATCCCACTAATCTCAAAGGCAAACCCCAGAAATATGAAAAGCCTGAATAGTAGGAAAAAGAAAATCTAAGAGTAGGGTGATTTCAATTGTGAAATAGACAAATTAAACACCTGATCATGCCACCACTAACGGTACCACGAGCAGGATCTTGCCATGTCTTGTATAGGTCTTGTATAAGCTCCTGCCTGTGAGCTTGAGCACAAACAAGCCCGGCATATTTAGTGACTTCCGGCCAATCCTGAGAAGCTACAACCTACAGTAGAAGTGCAGGTCCAAGTAAGCTAAAATGCCCAATATTACTTCAGTAAACAAGTTGAGTTTAGAAAGTGAGCATACAGCAGCTATTGAGGGACTGGAGTCTTCTCCATTCTCTGGATGGGTAACATCAGCTCCAAATATGATAGTTGGAATGTCACTGACCAACGGTATTCTACAGCTTATAGCATCCAGAAGGACAGTGTTCCTTCCACCCATCTGTTTGTAAAATGAGAAGTCAAAAACTGACCTTGAATTCACCAGGGAATTCTCTAAGGAAACCAGAGATCACAACTGGTGCAGGATGATTACCTTGACATTAATCTTCAAAGACACATTAGCCAAGTACTGCTTGCTGATCTTGAACACGTGTTTTGTCAGACAACATTGAGAGATCAAGCCAAGTTCAGTTTCACAAATTCTCTTTAGATCTCCTGAGAAGTATAATCAGCTTGGGTTAGATCTAACAATGTGAAATCTTCACCAAATCTTAACTGAGTTTTTTTTTTTAGCCAACTTACCATACAATGAGCCATTGCTGTCGGGTAAAATGGCTAAAAGGAGTTCTAACTCTTTTCCTCTAAGTTTATTCAGACATGCCTGATAAACGTGCCTTAATGCTTTCTCTGCTTGATCAGGTCTAGCACTGTAGATTGGAATTACAGGATCTGGATTGAATTCCTATAAAATTGGAAAGAATATAACTGGTACAGTTAAACAAATAACACATAGTTTAGAAACCAAAGAGACAAGGATAAAGAAGCCCACCATGCCAGATACTTGACACATTTGAGCTAATTCACTACAGAATCCACGGGCAACACTATCTTGAACACTCCTAGAGAAGTTGATGCATGCCCAGCGGCTAACAGTCATCCCATTGATCATTTTCTGTCAAAGGAGGAAATAATGTTCACTACATAACAAAGATGAAGCATCTAACACTTATACAACAGGATACAAAAATATGCTTCTCAGGTAATGACATCTACAGAAATGTATCTCAAAGGAAACCGGTTATGGAAAAAAGGAAAGAGAGATTTACTGGAATCCATACAAGGAAACTAGCAACCCACCAATGATCAGCAGGCACTAAAGACTTTTACTCATAAGACTGCCACTTGGATCGTAAATAAGATAGTAGTTCCAAATGATCGCTCTAAATTTCTGATCAATGCATGCATGATAAAAAGGAATACTACTGAGAGGATCAGAAACATCCTAAATTTATCATTATTTCTTTGTATTGTAAGGGCAAGTTAATCAATAAGTTGTTAAGAGATACAGAGAAGTTACAAAGATAGCTTTGAAAACCATGTTCAAATATCAACTTACTACTGTATAGAAAACAACAAAGATCCTGCAATAGAAGTAGAAAAAAGAAAGAAATGTACCTTATTCATCATGTTCCACTGCCCAACTTGAGGCAGACAATCTTTCTCTTTTCCATTCTCATGATATTTAAGCTACAAAATAAGCACACAGTGCAAGTCAATATTTATAAAACGGTTTTTCAGGGTGTACGGAAATATCAAGGTACCACTTCTCACCCAAGGGGCTGGAAGAACCCTTGCTTCAACAGATGCTTGATTTTCACTAATTTTGATGCCAAATTCCTTTGCATATGGGTCTTGATCATATGCATTGTGTTGAACTGTCTGTAAAACAAAAAATCATATTGTGGGACATCAGTTTCTGAACAAATCAACTTGGTATTGAAATTATACAGACAAACAATAAATGATGCAAAAGTACACCTTCCGATATAGGAAGAATAATCAATGAGAGGTTAAAATTTTCTTATTTCACGCTTGCTACTCAAAAGTTTATTGCAATGGACCAAAGCTATCAAATATTCATGCAGCTTGTGGATAATTTGAAGACATTAAACTTTTAACACTCTTCCCTACTTGAGTTCTCAAGAACAAACATAAAGAATGGTGATTGCTTATTAACTTTGCCGATTTCTTTAACCTTTGTTTCCAAGATTCTATCAACAGTGAAACTGACAAGAAAACTGATGACGTAAACTACCTGCAAAATGTCAATTTCTCGCTCCCGAGGTCTCTGGCACGTGACCTTCAATAAAGCAGTAATTTGCTTCTCACTCAACCTTTTTGTATATCTTTGACCTTCCACAATTTTACATGCCTACAAGTCAGACATCATGAGATCATGAAGTTAACAGATGCGTAAGAGTAATGAATGTCATAAGAACACAAACAACTCAATAATATTTATTACCTCCATGGGAAGATAGTTAGCCTTCTTTTGGTTCCCAACTTGAAGGCAAGGCAGGTGAGTGTACTGAATAGTGAAGCCATACATTTCTTGGAAGTATTCAACAACTGACTTCATTGTTGAATTGTCATCAATGGGGAAACTGACAACAAAAAGAAATAATTCTTAGGTTCCACTCTTGACAAAAGAAGTTGTTTAGGACGAGTAAAAAAAAAAAAGGCAGCAGCTAGGGTTCAAGTTTTGGTTGTCAACTTAAAAGGCTAAAAATATCTGAAAACCAGCACATCCCTATTCGGTCCCGTTGAATTAGGTAATCTTGGGCAAAACCCTTAACTAAAGGCTAAAATATCAAGTGCACGAATCTATCATAGGATTCCCGTTTAAGATGTGTAAGCTGTATCAGAATTAGAGGGCTCCATTAGAATTAGAATTTAAAACTGAATAATAGACATCATTCCAGATGCAGTGTGATAGTGATGAATGATGATGCCGGTAGTACCCTTCATTCTTCTATTTGGTTAAAAAATGAACATAGCACAAGAAGAGTATATGATACAGAAGTTAGTAAACAAGAAGTTTCATACACTAGCTCTCTTGTAGGCTGAGATGTTATCCCAGAAACGCGATACTTTCTTCGCACGGTACCTCTATGCGTTACTTCAACTTTCACTCCTCTGAGAGCCTTTTTTATCTGCATGGCACTCAGAAATGGATTTCAATAAAAAGCATCTAGGTGGAAGTTTTTGAATTTATCTCCAGATGAATGCAAAATACCTTGACACGTTCAGAATCCGACAAAGGTCTCGATATTGCATCTTTTCCCAGCAGTTGGGCAACGAAGTCTATAACAGGGAGGGCCTCAATAAATGCAGCTGAAGCCATGTCTGTAATACAGGGATGGTAAGGATATGTTGATCAACCAAAGAAATTGTAACACAATGTCATTTATCATGCAAACCATATACGTACCGATATTCAGAGATAGGCCCATCTGGGTTGGTCTTATACTCTGGTAAAACCCACACCATGCCTCCAAACCTTCACCCAGACGCTGAGGCTTCCGGATGGCAGGAGAAAAGAATGATCTCCCAACTTGGCAGTATCTGTTTTGCAGGATGAGCAGATAATGAATGTGAGCTTTTGATATAAAGAAGCATTGAATGGGACAAAGAAGTTGATTATAAAACATGAAATGGTCTTACCTTTTAACAGAGAGCTCTCTCAACACAATGTCGAGAATTTTAAGAGCTTCTTGTGGACCATCAGCCCGTTTACCAGCAAGAAATTGACCCAAATGATGCAAATTTGCCCGTGCAACAAACTTGATCACAACTTTGTACTCTCTCTCCCTCCTGACAAGCAATAGAATTTCCATTTATTATTATTATCACAACATCAAAGAGATAACTGAAATACAGTGAATTTATAACATTGAAATAAATACTCGTCTTACTCTTTCATTTATAACCACATCATTTCTTCAATTTGCTCATAACATTAATGTTTGATTTCAAAAGGCCAAATAAAACCAAAATGATAAAAGGAGTCAAATTTTGGGGAACAGGTCTTACTTGGGACCATTGACTCCTTCATCTTCATCAATTAACTTAATTGTGAACTCCTTCCAAGCAAAAGGAAGTTCTCCGGCAGTGTACAGACTCTTTCTGCCATCATAAGCAGGAAGTCTCATCCCCAAGTCAGATTCTTTGTACAGTTTCACCAGTTCAGCCATGATTGCTCTGTTCACATTTCTTGATGACACTTCAGGAGTAATGTTAACCTGCAGTCAACAAGGAACAAGAATAATTAAAAAAGTGAGTGCACTGTGCAGAGCAATTAGAACAGCACTGCTCTCCAAATTAAACAGTCATTAATGCCATCTAAATCAAAGGACTAGGAAGAGGATTCAAGCTATTCTTTTACAACACCTGCAAAAGAAAAGTCAACAACTTAAACACACTGTCAGCCAAAGGGCCACCACTAGTAATTTCATCAAAGTAAAGCATACCAATTAAACACAATGTAGAGCAATGAACTCCGTTGATACTGATAATAAGAACCCAAAAAGGGAAAAAAAAAAAAAAGGGAAAACAACTTACATCATACTGATTCAAGTCCTTTTTCGGCAGTTCAGCGAAGAAATGGTTGGCCTTAACAATACACTTTGTGCCAAGCTGCCCAAAACCAGGTCTTGGTGCAAAACTCAATGACTTGCTTGAAGAAGGAAAACCCATGTCCACTTCACCAGAATTGAGGTTCTCATTCTTAGCACTGATGATTGAAGCAGTCGCTTCAACAGGGATAGATGATTCTACCAGAACAACAGGCTTATCTGCAGCAGTGCAAGGCCGTGAGCTTGGCCTCATCAAGGCTTCACCTTGATCAGATTTCCGACCACCTCTCCTCCTCCTCCTTCCTCTATTCTTTGATGGAGGTGAACACTGATTTTGAACCTTGATGTTCTGAGATTCTTGAGCTGCTGGCGGTGGCCCTTTACCATTTTGAGGCGTTTTGTTATCCTTCAGTAAAGGATTCATGGAGTTCTGGAATTGAGGTTTGACCACAAAGTGCTGTTCTGAGCTCTCTTTCATTTGCCTCAGAGGCATGATGACAGTTGTTGATGATGATGATAGCTGGGTTAAAAATGACCGCTTAAACAGAACGTAGAAATCTCCTTAAAACGAAATTCCCTTGCCCAGATGACAAAATTCAGCCAAAAAAACTTTCCCTCCTGATAATCACTGTTCAATCACTTCTAGTAACTCTGGAAAGATTTATGGCTATCCGTACTGCAAAATCCAGAAACAGGGAATAGAAGTATGAAACTCAAGTCAGTGAATTAACCCAACTGGGAAAAAAACCATTTAAGGAAAATGCTGATGGTGAATCCAATCTTACACGCAAAAAAATAAATGCTCGGGCATTAAAATTCAAGTCTAATATTTATTGGATGCTCCACACATTACCATTGTTATGCAAAGCAAAAAGAACCGATCTTTCTTGCATTTAATTCATGGACGAAACCAACAAATTCCCAACTCAAACTTGGAAAAATTGTCCAGAACAAAATTAATAACAGCAACAGAAAAAGAGACAAATGTTATGAAAACTTCTGTGATTATCCTCCAATTTTTCTAGTCACTGTTATTTGCATTTTGCTGCATGTACTGATTTGTAAATTCCAATTGCTCGAGAAAAATTAAAAAAAAAAAAAAAACAATGACCTGCTTTTAACAAAAACCTTAAATTTTGAACAGGAAGAAAGATTTTCAGCTAAAATGAATATGATTTTGGCCTAAGAAGAAGAGAGTAAAAAGACAACTACATGGAGACGAAAATAGAGAATAACCAAGAATCCGAATCCTATCAGATGCTTCTGTTGGAAACCCAACATCCTTGAATAGTTGAATCAGGAAAAGATGTGGGATAATTTCAACATTTCAATATCCTCATGTGCAAATATGCATACCAAAAAAAAAAAAAAACCTCAATAAAATAAATTAATCAAATAGGGAAAGATGTGCCCAGGAGACCAAACCCATTTCCCTCACCTTGTCTGCTAATCAAAACAAAAAAACTCAGCATCAGAAGACTACAAGCTTGTAAGAGTAAAATCCAAAGAAAAAAGACCCATCAATACAGCAGAATACACATATATAGGCACAAGAGGACTAATAAATGAGAAGGCTTAAATATGACTGCTCAAGAAGAAGAGAATAAAAACGCCTAGAAAGCAACAAAAGTCACAAGGCAATGGTAATAGTATGTATGTGTAAACTCAAACAGATAAAAGGAATAAACATTGAAAACTTCACTTAAATATCACTATCTAAAAGATGGCCCAATTTCACTGCTTCATAAAAAATGACACACCCCAAGAAAAATTTTTAAAGACACATGCAGAACTCTTACCCCTTCATACTAGCTAGAATTAGTGATTAATCCAAACAGACTCCTTTAAGAGAACCCTTTAAAAAGCTTCAAAGAAATGAACTTTTCTTTTCTTTTCAATCTTTAATCAAAGGCAGAGAAACTCAAAAGAAGGAAAACTGCCCAAAGAAGGTAGAACTGCAAAGTGGATTTAAAAAGATGGATTTTTTTTTTTTTGGTTTGGTTCTCAAACTTTCAAGATTACATCAGAAAGAGAAAAAGATGAGATTTTGAAGAAGGGGTGTGACACTGGTCATGAAATGATGATGATGAAGATGAACTTTAATACTCGGTCGCATGCAAAATGTATTTTCTTTGTCACGTGTAATCACCTCACTTCAAGAAAAAAATGAAAACAAAAATCCCAAAAAACGTTTCAAAGTTTTCTTCTTTTTCCTTTTTTTTAGCTTTCTTATCCTCCAACCTAGAGATAGTCCTAGGAGTACTTCTCCTCTGTTCCTCTCTGAAGCTTTGTTGTTTGTTGCCAAAGGAAAAGCGTATGCAGATGATGCACCATTTGAGCTTAAGGACAAGTGTGTGACTGTGTGAAAACCCAATAAAAGTGAAAAAACACAAAAGAGGGAATAATTAGAGAACATGCAGTCCTCACCGATTCAGATTTCACAAAAATGGGATCTTTTTTCTCTCTTTTCCACTTTCTTACTTCATGAAAGAACACATACACAGGATTAGTAATTTTTCTCTTTCTTTAAGCATAATGCAAGCATTTTTCTTGCCATAATCTTTGTTTGAATATGGATATGGCTATGGAAAAAAAATGAGAAGGGATTGATGCTCACATTTTTTTTCCCCACTCTGCAATTCAATGATTTGGTTGGATCTTCATATATTTTAGCTTCAAAAACCAAACTAAACCAAACCCAAGTCCTATATTGATTGTCCCAAAAACTCTTCTTTATGTACTGAAGCAGTCAAATAACGGTCGGTTCAATTCGTCTGAAAGTGATAGGGTCCACCTTTCTCTTGGGTTTTTTTCTTTTTATTTTCTGGGAGAAAATAGAAAAATAAAAAAAATTAATAATATATTTGGGTCCACAACATGTGTGGCATAATCTGCTTTTTGGAATTATGAGAATTATTATTTTAGCTTTTTCTGTATCAGTTTAATTGAGACTGCAATTAGTCAGTCATGAGTGATGGTTTTATTAAGGATTACACCCTTTTCTTTTCTGGTTTCAAATATCAATTACGGTGTCTGATTTGCTGGTTGTTGGTACTACCACAGATTTGATTTTACTTCTTCTGAGTTCTGATAGTTTAAAATGTTACTAGGATACAAAGGGGGTAGTTTACTTGGCAATGTCACATTCATGTATTTGATGAGATCGGTATCTAATTATCAAATATGGTCTCAAGATGGGTTTTGGATACAAAAATTGGGACTCTTATTACCTACTTTTTATAAATTGATAGTCAAGTAACTCGAGACAATTTGGATAGGAGTAATTTTTGGGGTCCTTGCATGCCAGAGGGTCAATACACACGTGTGCTTGTTTATTGACATATGTGAGATGATATGTGATAAACGATTGAAAGATTGATATAATTTTTTTTGATTAAGAATCAAATCACTGAAAAACAATTTCGATGTGAGTTAGTAATATTTGTGTTTTTACATGCATGAGGGTCTATACACACGTGTGTCTATCTATCGACAGTTGTAAGTTTAGATTAATAAATGTTACAATGAAACGATGAAAGATTGTTATAATCTATTTTTAAATTACTTGAATCATTGAAGACAATTTACATACGAGTTTGCAATATTTTTGTCCTTGCATGCATAAAGGTCTATAGACACGTGTGCATCTATCAACAGATGTAAAGTTAAACTAATAGACGTCACAATGAAACGATAAAAGATTGTTGTAATCTACTTTTAAATTGATCAAGTCATTGAAGACAATTTGTATACGAGTTTGCAATATTTGTGTCCTTGCATGCAGAAGGGTCTATAGACGCTTGTGTTTATCTATTGACAGATGTCAAGTTAAATTAATAAGACCTTACAGTGAAACGATAAAAGATTGTTATAATCTACTTTTAAATTAATTAAATCACTCAAGACAATTTGTATACGAGTTTGCAATATTTGTGTCATTGTATGCATGAGGGTCTATAGACGCATGTGTTTATCTAATGACAGATGTAAGGTTAAATTAAAAGACGTTACAGCGAAATGATAAAAGATCGTTATAATCTACTTTTAAATTAATCAAATCACTAAAGACAATTTGAATACGAGTTTGCAATATTTGTATCCTTACATGCATGAGGGTCTATAGACATGTGTATTTATCTATCGACAGATGTAAGGTTAAATTAATATACGTTTCAGTGAAACGATAAAATATTGTTATAATCTACTTTTAAATTAATCAAATCACTAAAGACAATGCGCATACGAGGTTGCAATATTTGTGTCCTTGCATGCATTAGGGTCTATAGACGCTTGTGGCTATCTATTGACAGATGTAAGGTTAAACTAACAAACGCTAAAGTGAAACGATAAAAGATTATTATAATTTACTTTTAAATTAATCAAATTACTAAAGACAATTTGCATGCGAGTTAGCAATATTTGTATCCTTGTATGTATGAAGGTTTATAGACACATGTGATTTATCAACATATGTAGTGTTCAGTTAATAGACCTTACAGTAAAACGATTAAAAGACGGTTATAATTTGGTTTTAAACTAACAATCAAATCACTTAAGATTATTTAGACTCAAATTACCTGGAAATTGAATAACATTCTAGTGGTTAGGACAATGTGATTTTTAGTATTAGACTCGGGTTTAATTCCCATCAAAGGTATGTAAGGGGAGTTTTACTTATATTAAATAGGTTCACTGGAGTGAGTTTTTTTTTTTTTAAAAGACACAAATTACCAATATTTTGTATCCTTGCATGCAAGAGCATTCATAGGCACGTGTATGTATCTATTCACGTATATGGCGTTGAATTAATTGACGTTACAATGAAAAGATTGAAAGATTGTGATAACAAATAGAAAGACGAACAATTTTCATTATTTTTAAATACTTGATACACACGTATATTTATCAATCGATATATGTGTTGAGCTAATAGACAAAAGGTAAAACGTTCTAAAGACGGTTGTAATTTACTCTTAAGTTAATAATCAAATCACGCGACAATATTTGGACATCAGTTACTTGTGTTCTTCTATGCAAGAGCGTTTATAGACACGTATGTCAATCTATCAACATATGTAATAGTGTTAAATTAATAGTTGTTACGGTGAAAATCTTAAAAGATTGTGATAACCAATACAAAAGATGAACAATTTTCATTGATTTTCAGTACATGATAGACACACATTCATTAACACTTGTGTCTATTTATCAACATATGTATTATTGAATATCACGGTAAAACAATTGAAAGACTGTTATTTATAATTTACTTTTAAGTTATGAATCGAATCACTCAAAGACTATTGAGAAAAAATATTTTGTGTCGTTGCATGCATGAGGTTCAAAGACACATTTGTCTGTTTAACGACGCATGCATTGTTGAATTAATTAATACTCCCTCCATCCCATAATTATTGTCCACTTTGCCCAAAAAATTTTGTCCCAAAATTATTGTCCAATTTGACTTTTTATGGATCAATTTACACATTTGTC